TCTGAAGCCCTCTTCTGACCTCTGAAGCATTGCACAACACGGGTGTACTCACACACATGCAGGCAATACACTCATACACGTAAAATAAAAATAATAAAATATTTAAAAAATATTAAAAGTGCAAACAACAATAACAACAACAAAACAAATGCCTACAGTCTCAGAAATTGGGAGGTGGAGGCAGGAGAATCAAAAGTTCAGTCATCCTTCACCTCTATAGTGAGTTCAAAGCCAACCTAAACTGTGGAGCGTCTACTTGAAGAAAGCCAAAATCAATAAATTTATTTAATTAAAAATAAAATTCATCTGATTAATATATGTAATTCAATGGTTTTAGTATATGTACAGTTAGACAATCATTAATTTTAGAGCATTTCCTTGTTTTTCTTTTTTTCCCTTTTCTTTCTGAGACAGGTTCCTGTATCCCAAGCTGGTCTTGGACCCATTATGTAGAGCTTGATGACATTGAACTTTGCCTGCCTCCACCTCCTAGGTCTTGGGATTACAAGCCTGTACCATCCCACCCAATTTATGTGGTATTGGAGAATCAAACCCAAGGTTTCCTGCATGCTAGGAAAGCACTCTACCAACTGAGCTCTACTCCCAACACCAATTCTAGAACATTTCATCACCCAGAAAGAAAGCTTGGACTCAATATTATTCTCTCTCTCTCTCTCTCTCTCTCTCTCTCTCTCTCTCTCTCTCAACCAAGGGCATTGCACATTTGTTGGCAAGTACTTCACCCATACCCAGATTTTTTTTTTGCCATGCTGGGGATTGATCCCAGAGTAACACCCTGGTATGCTTGCTAAGTACTGTGCCACAGAACCACATCCCCATCTCCCAATATTTTTTTTTTGTCTTTTTGAGCTGTAGCCCCAGCTGTCCTGGAACTCACTATGTAGACCAGGCTGGCCCTGAACTCACAGAGATCTGCCTGGCTCTGCCTCCCTAGTGCTGGAATTAAAGGCGTGTGCCACCACGCCTGGCTTCAATATTTTTTTAAATTGTGAGACAAGGTCTTACTAAACTGCTCAGGCAGATCTTGAACTTCTGATTCTTCTGAGTCCACCTCCCAAGTAACTGGCTTTACAGAACTCTGCTGCCATGGCTGCTTCAGCTTCATTCTTTCTTTGCTTCAGCTTCATTCTTTCTTTTTGCATGTTTATGGTATGTATATGCATGTTCATATGTGTGTGAGGATGCACGTGAAGGACAGAGGTTGACGCCAGGTGTCTTCCTCTATCAGTCTCTATTTACTGAGGCAGGCTTTGGGAAGTTTAACTAGTTAGCTTGCCCCGTGGATCTCCTGTCTGTGCCTTCCAAGCACTGGGGTTATAGGTGGGCCAGCACACCTACCTGGCATTTATGAAGGTGCTGGAGATCCAAACTCTGTTCCTCATGTTTGTGAGGCAAGTGCTTTATCCATTGAGTCTTCTCCCAAGCACCCTCTGATTCATTCTTAAACAAGTATTTCTTTCTTCACCAGGCTGGGAATCAAAACCTCCAGGATGGTCACCTTCCAACAAAAAAATGTGAAGCCTTGTGCTACCTGGGGTAGGGTAATAGCTCAGCAGGCTGTGCCTGGGTAAACACCTGAAGGTTTGGACAGGTCCTGTGAAGACATGTCTTTATTCTTTCTCCTACTTCCATTCTCCTTCCCTCCCTCCCTCCCTTCTTTCCTTCTTTCCTTCCTGGCTGGCCTCAAACCCACTACTAGCCTAGGCTAGCCTCGAGCTTACAGTTTTCCTGCCCTCAGACTCCCAAGGGTTGTGATTACAGCTGTGAACCACCATGAACAATAAATGATGTCTTTTTTTTTTTTTTGGTCTTTTTGAGACAAGGTCTCCCTAGAGCTCCAGCTGTCCTGGAACTCACTATGTAGACCAGGCTGGCCTTGAACTCACAGAGAGTCTGCCTGCCTCTGCCTCCCAAATGCTGGGATTAAAGGCATGCGCCACCACGCCCGGCCCAGAATGATGTCTTTTTAAACATGGTTATTTTTGTTGTTTTGCTCTTTTGGGGATCAAATCCAGGACCTATTCACATCACACATGTTAGGCAAGCATTCTGCCACTGAGCTATGCCTCCAGCCCCTTCAGTATGTTTTTGAAAACATAATAAATGTGCTTGGCTAGAAAAAAGAATGTCAAGGGGAAAGAACACAGCTCTACAGCCTTCTTTTTCATTTATTATTATTTTTAATTTTGTGTATGAATGTATTGTGTAAGTGCACTTGTGTCCTGTGATGCTCATGGAGGTCAGAAGAGAATGTTGGATTCCCCTGGAATTGGAGTTACAGATGGTTGTTAGCCACCATATGGGTGTTGGGAATCAAACCCAGGTCCTCTGCAAGAGCAGCCAATGCTCTTGACCACCAGGTCATCTCTCTAGCCCCCCTCACAATCTTCTTTGACTGCTACTCCTAAAGCAAGACATTTAGCAGACAAATGACCACTAGACCCCTATCTCTCACCCTGTATACAAATCAATTCAAAATGGATAAAAAAATCTTAATATAAGACCCAAAACTTTGAAATTGTGAGAAGAAAACACTTCAAGATTTAGACTAATCAAGAACCTTCTGAAAAAGATTCCAAAAAACTCAGGAAACAATTCCAAGAATTGACAAATGGAACTGAGCATGGTGGCTTGCACCTGTAAACTCAGCACTCTGTTGACAAAAGCAGGATTGCTGTGTTTCAGATCAGCCTCTGCTATAGTACATTCTAGAGCAGTCCTACAAAGACTGTTTCAAAAAACAAAACAAGCTAACAAAAAGAATTAACAAATGGCACTGCAAGAACTTGAAAAGTTGTACAGCAAAGGAAACAATTATCAGAGACAGCCCACAGAAAGGGAAAAAATATCTGCCAGAGGATTAACATCAGAATGTATAAGGAGTGAACACAGTATGGTGTTACAAGCCCAGGAAAATCAGAAGTTCAAGGTCATCTTTGACTGCATGGTAAGCCTATGGCGGTAGAAAGCTGTTCTGCATGAGATTCTGTCTCAAAAAAAAAAAAAAAAAAAAAAAGAGGTTGGGTATGTGTGGCAGACACCTTTAATCCCAGAAGCAGAGGCAGGTGGATCTCTGCGGGTTTGATGTTAGCCTGATATACACAGTGAGTTCCAAATCAGTTGGGGCTACACAATGAGACTCAGTCTCAAAAATAACAACAAAAAAAAAAAAACAAAAAAATTACACAGAGACTCCATTTTACTCCAGTCACAATGGCTATCATCAAGAAAACAATGCTGGTTGAGGATGTGGGGAAAAAGACCCCTTATACACTGCTGGTAGGAATGTAAATTAGCCACGAACTATGGATGTTAGTGTGGAGGTTTCTCAAAAACTAAAACTAGAACTACCATATGACCCAGCTATACCATTACTGGATATATACTCAAAGGAACAAAGCATACAATAAAGGTACCTGCATGTTTAGATACCTGTTTAATATGGCACTATTCATAATAGAAAAACTATTAAGTCAGACTAGGTATACATCAATGAATGGGCAGAGAAAAGATGATTTTATATACACACACGCATACACACACAGTGGAGTATAATTCAATCATACAGAAGAAAATCATGCTCCATTTTCAGGAAAATCCATGGAACTGGAGATTATAAGTTAAGGAAAATAAGCCAGACTCAGAAAGACCAAGCCAGGCATGGTGGTGGAAGCCTCTAATTCTAGAACTCGGGAAGCTGAAGCAGTAGGATCAAGAGGTCTCCCTTACAGAGTGAGTTCAAGGCCAACCTAGGCTACATGAATGGGAGACCTAAAACAAACACACATACAAACAAAAAGACAAATATAAGTGGGCATATTACTTTATGTTCTAATTCCAGCACTCTGGAGACAGAGGCATCAGGATTGATAGCTGTGAGTTCAAGGCCAGATACAGCTATACAGTGAGTTCCAGACCAGCTTTGGAATATGAGGCCTCAGAATGAGGCTTTGTCCAAAACAAAACAAGTATAGTTTATTTTCTGTCATATGTCAAATCTAGACATTATATTTATGTGTGTATACATCCATACGCATATATGATATGGAAGTAGAAAGACTTTGGGAAGAGGAAAGGGTCCTGTAGGAAGGATTGGGGGGAGTGGGACAAAAGAGGATAATGGGAGGATGATTATGATCAAAGCACATGATATGGCTAAGTGTGTAACTAATACCTGTAATTCTAAGACTTGGGAGACTGAGGCAGGAGGACTACCTTGAATTTTAGGTCAGTCCAGGCTACATGATGAGTTCCAGGCCAGCCTAGGCTGCAATGGAACCCCCTGTCTCAAAACAAACCCAAACTTCCCGCAAAAAAACCCCCACAAAGTACATGATACACGCATATAAAAATGTCATAAATAAATAAATTAAATAAACTAACCGGAACCTAATAGTGCTAGAAGGGCCCTATGGTGTCTGGACACGTGGCATTGACCCATGCGGTGCTCACCAGAGCTACAGGGCTGAGTTTGCACGCAAATGTCCAGTGTGTAAACATGGGTGAACATGTGCATCTGGGTGAGTGCGTGTGTCCCCGCAGTGTATGTGAAAGCTCTGAGAAGCTGCACCCTACATCTATACAAACTTTAAGTGTGTGTGTGCACTGTGAGAAGTATTTGCACTAAATGTGCACACTATATGTGTAAGATGCATGAGGAAATGTGCCCAGGTCTGGTGTGTGTGTATGTGTGTGTGTGTGTGTGTGTGTGTGTGTGTGCCATGTGAGTAGGCAGTAAGGAGTTGTGCGCACACAAGTTCGAATACTGTAATGCCTACTGCAAGTGCACACTCCGCGCGCTCCTCCTGAGAACAGCAGCGCGTTTCGTCGGAGTACAGGGCTGGAAGACAACCTGTGCACGCCTTGCACGTGCAGGCCCTTTCCCGTGCGCGCGCGCACGAGCAGGATGAGTGACGCACATGCGGGTGCACGAGGGTCCGGTGCGGCGCGCCCCGGCAGTGTGGGGACAGCGCACGAGGTGGGAGGGCGCGTGCGCAAGCTGACACGCATCGGGGCTGGTGCGGCGCGAGGGGCTGGACAGTGCGCCTGTGCAGCAGCATCAAGCGCATCTCGATGGAGCGTGGTGGAGGGGACAGTAACGGAGCTGGAGCTCCGCGGTCCGAAGGTGCTGCGCGGGGCGCCTCACTGCTCCCCGGGAAGCCGACGGAAGCCGGGGCGGCGCGGCCATCGCAGTCCACCCTCCGGTCCGCAGGTAAGGCCCTCGCAGCGCCGGGGCGCAGTGGGCTCCGGACCCCCGGGGCGGGCGGCGCGGGCGGTGGTTAAGGACGTCCTTTCCTGGGCTTGGGTCCGCTAACGCGGGGATCCCGGGCTGCGTCCCTGTCTCTGCAGGTGGCGCGGTCCCCTTGGGCTTGGCGTGGGTGAGTGGGCGCACTTGGGGTGGCGAGGAGCGGGGAACAAGTGTTTTTTCCACGGGTGTTCCGGGGCCCACGCTCGGCTCTCGAGGGGGCTTCTGGGATGCCGGCCATGCCGGCGCGGGGCCGCCAAGGTGTCGTGACTGGATGGCGGCGGTTGGCCCGGGGCTGCGTTCGGGCTCTCCATCCTGCCGAGCGCGCAAGAGCCGCTCACCGCAGCCCGCCGCGAAGGTGGCCCAGCTTTGCGGTTTCTTGGCCTCTCCAGGTCGCAAAAACCTTCGTGTCGCACCGGCGTGCGGCAGAGGGAGCGGGTCATTGCCAGTACGTGTACCCCGCCTCCCGGACGAGCCCGCTGAGGTCCAGGTTCTAGTACTCGGGGTGTCTGACCCGGCCGCAGCCCCCTTACGTTGCAAAGAGTGTCCCAGCCCAGCCCGCAGGGCTGTACTGACAGTGTGGGGGGCGGGGACCCGGGTTCCAGTACTGGCTGCCCTAGGAGGACATCGTGAGGACGTTTGGAAGAATGTGACGAACAGGTTTTCTGGTGCTAACCTTCTGTATGCTTGCAGGTGGTGCGTGGATATAAGCAACGTGGAAAATGATTTCATTCGATTTTTTCTGGCAACACCCTTTTTAAGTTAATGTGAAGTATTCATTTTTTTTTTACTGCAGTTTAACGTACACCCCCCACCACACACACACACATACAACCCTGCACAAATCTTTCTACGATTCCGGGAATTAGCACATCGTGAAGATGGAGTGTTTTGGGGGGTTGGGGGGGGTGTTTGCTTTGAGAAAGGATTTTGTTATCTAGTTTATGTTGGCCTGGACCCCATGCCACCCAGCCCAGCTTGCCAGTATACCTTTAGTCACTTAAAACATGCTTTTTGTTGGGAGAAAGGGGACTTTTTATTTTTTTTTAATTGAACCATTCCTCACATCATTCATAGAAAGGAGAGGATGGCTAAAACTATATCTAGTTTGTGTTATCGTGCTTTTTATTAAATGCACTACTTAATAAAATGCTACAGGGTAGGGATAATAAGTACCTTTTAAACCTGCTCTTCAGCTTTAATCCTTTTAACTTGAGAAACTCAGACAGCATCTGGTTTGAACCATGAACCAACACCCCAAAACCAGCCCTCTCTGGCAAAGGGGACTCTGTACAATAAAGATTAGAAAAGGGAAATTGATTTTATATTTTTATTTGGTGGGGAGTTTAAGTAATAGGTTATTTAGATGTTTCTTGTAATGAGGGGAGAATCTGGGTATGGTTGAATGTCAGGTTTATCTGTGATTTTAATTTACTTGAAGGAATTTACGGGGTAGATCCCCCCCCCATTTGCTCTGTTTGTTATGATGACATTAGTTTATGTTTTGGAATTTCTAAACCAATTTTAAGATTTTTTTGTTTTGTTTTGGTCTTATTGAGACAGGGTCTCCCTGTAGCCCCAGCTGCCCTGGAACTCACTATGTAGACCAGACTGGCCTTGAACTCTCGGAGATCCACCTGCCTCTGCCTCCGAGTGCTGGGACTAAAGGCATCTGCCACCATGCCCAGCTTTAACTTTTAAATATGTAACCTACAGTGAACATTGAGAGATTACTTTAGCAACATACTTGGTCATTCTTAATAGCTGTGTGAAAGAACAAATAAGACTTTTCCTCTTTATTTCAAAGGGGAGTCTTTGAGGAGAGACAGGTGTGTGTCTGTGATAGGGTTTTGCAATGTAGCCCAGCTTGGGCTTGAATTTGTAATCCTTCTGCCTGGGTTACCCATCACCAACAGTCTTAAGGGATTATATATATATATATAGTGTTTAAACAATAGGTTTCATTATGACGTGCCTATGCATACATGCATAAAATTGTACTGCACTCTCCCTACAAGGGGGGACTGTCTCTTCTTTCTTTCTGTTCAGTGGCGAGGGGAGGGAATCTGTGTAGCCCAGATTGTCCTGCAACTCAGTATGTAGCCCAGGCTGGTCTCAAATTCATGGCGATCCTCCTGCCTCAGCTGCATGGGTCATCACACACAACTCCCTAAGGGGGGATTCTCAATTATACTTACTATAGAATCATTTAATGCACTCTACTAATACTAAGATTAGCTTTCAGTCTAGGGATATGGCTCAGTGGTAGAATGCTTGCCTAGCATGTTTGAGGCCTAGTGTTTAAAAAAAAAACAACCAGAATTTTAAGCTGCTGCTCTATAGGTAGCCAGGAGGTGTAGTCAGCATAGATGTTCATCAGCAGTTGAATGGAGCCAGACATGGTGCATGTCTGTAATCCTAGCACTTAGGAGGTGGAGGCAGGAGGGTCAGGAGTTCAAGGCCAACCTTGGTTACATAGGGAGTTCAAGGCAAGCTTGGAGTACATGGGGACCCTGCTTCAAAAATAAACAAAACCAAAAAAAAAAAAAAACCAAAACAATAAAACAAAATTCAGATGACTGGGTAAAGAAAATGTGGTATATATACACAGTGGAATTTTATTCAAGTGTAAAGAAAATAAAATTATGGCATTTTCAGAACTGGAAATTATTAAGTGAAGTAACCCAAACTCAGACAAATACCATATGTTTTCTCTCAGATTTGTATCCTTGATGTATTTATTTTATGTGTATGTGTGTTTTGCTTGCATATATGTAAGTACTAATGTTGCACAATGCCCATGGAGGACAGAAGACAGCGTTGGATTCCCCTGAAGCTGGAGTTCGATGCCATGTGGGTGCTGAGAATGGGAAACCCAGGTCCTCTGCAAGAGCAGCTAGTATTAACCACTGATTTGTGGGTGTGTCAATAGGGTTTGAAACTAGAAAAGGGCCAGGAAGAGGAGAAAAGGAGGTTTTGTGGTAGGGAGAGAGGGGACAACCAAGAAGGTAATAGACTGTGGGACATGAAAGCAGAACGGAGCTGGTGAGGGAGGGAGGGGAGTTGAGCAGGACAGAGGAGAAGCAACAAAAACTGGCAGGTGGGGGTGCTGGAGCGATGACTCAGCAGTTAAGAGCATTTACAGCTCTTGCTGAGAAGCAGTGTTCAGTTTGGGTGCCTCTGGTGGCCTTTTACTCCAGCTTCAGGGGATCTGATGCCCTCTTGTGGCTCTCTTGGGCACTGCACTTGTGCACAAACCCACACATAATTAAAAAATAAAATGAAACCCTGAAACTATGAAAATGCCATGATAAAACCCATTACCTTTGCATGCTAATTAAAATAATAAATGAATATAATTCAATATAAGGTTACCTTAAAGCTGTTTTCATTTACTTGAAAATGATGGAAAGATGTGAACCCAACCTCTTAAGTGCAATGAGGTAATGTGCTAAAATTAGAATGTTCAGTGTAGGTTGCAGGTGATGCCACCATTTGTACTTTGGGGGAAAATGAATCCAAATACTTAGAAAATGTCATCCTTACAGATTTTTTTTTTGAGACAGGGTCTCAATGTAGCCCTGGCTGGTCTTAAACTCTATGTAGAGGATGATCTTGAACTTCTGATCCTCCTTCCTCTACTTCCCAAGTGCTGGGATTGCAGCCATTCACACCTCACTCAGTTCATGCAGTGCTGGGGATTAAACCTAGGACTTCATGTATGGTAGCAAGCACTCTAACAGACTGAGCCACATCTCAGCGCCTCAGAAAAATCTTGATTGTTTTTTTGTGGTGGTGAGGATTAAATATAGGCTGATACACATACTAGACCTGCATTTTACAGAGTTACATTTCCCACTCCAGAAAATATTAACACTTGAATTATATTTTAACAATGGGCCTGGGGATGTTTTTCAGTTAGTAGAGTGGTTGCTTAGCATGCACAAGACCTTGAGTTCAATCCCCAGCACCACAATTGGTGGTGGTGATGATGATGATTATTCATCCCAATCATTTTTGGTCTCTCAAGAAGGCCTTTTAATGAGAAATAACTTTCATTTTTAGACATCATCCATTGTTCTAAGCATGCACTGAGTGCTATGGCGATCACACAGAGAGGGAGGTTGGAGATGTCTAGACTGAAACCATGTTGTGGCTCATTGACATATTTGAGGAATATGAGTGGTTTTCCTGGCAGCTGTTGTAGGAGATTGAAGTGAATACCTCTGCTTGTTTCTTCTAGCAACAGGTTTTTCCAGTATTGAAATCCTGTCTTTGTTCTACTTACCCACTAGTGATGCCTTTTAAAAATGTTTTAAATTATTTTTGTTTTAAGAATGTTTTGCCTCCATGTATGTAGATGTACCCATGCATGCAATGCACGTGGAGGCCACAAGAGGGCGTCGAGTCCCCAGGAACTGGAGTTAGGAACAGTTGTGTGGGTGCTAGGCACTGAATCCGAGGTCCTCTGGAAGAGCAGTAATTGTTCTTAACCACTGAGCCATCTCTCCAGCACTTTGTTTCAGTTATTTTACTTATGAGATGCAAATCTCCCAGTATGCTGCTGTTCTTAGTGCTTGTGATGTATGCCCAGTAAAACAAATGAGGAACAAGGACCTGTTGTTTTGATCTGCCTAAGTACCTTTAACCAGCACATAGGGTCTCCGGCTGCTATCTACTGTTGTGTCAGGCTACATCAGTGTCACTTAGGTTCTGGATTGTTCTCTGTCTAAAATGCTCCCTTCTCCCCTTTTATTTCCAGTTCACTTTCCATTAGGCTTTTTCACTCAGAATTAATGAACTTCCTTTGTAAGCTTTATTGGTATATGTCTGTGTGTACACATGTGTTTGTGCATGACTGTGCACACCTGTATGCATGTGTAAAGTGTAAAGGCCAAAAGAGCATGGATGTCCCTTCATGTCCACCTATTCCTTTGAGGCATGGTCCTGCATTTTCTCAGATAGGC